CTTGTAGTATGGCGCACTGACCTCTACATCGCCGAGGCCAGGCGACAACTCTCCGACACCACCACCTACCGCCCCCTTGATCGTGACCCCACCCCCAACCACCAAACCATCATCTCCCAAACCATCCACAACCTCATCACCTCAGGTGACCTTCCACCCACAGCCTCCAACCTCATCGTTCCCCCAACCCCGCACTGCCAGCTTCTATCTCCTTTCCAAAATCCACAAACCTGACTACCCTGGTCGACCCATTGTCTCCGCCTGCTCCTGCCCCACCGAACTTACCACCACCTATCTCGACTCCATTTTCTCCCCCTTGGTCCAGGAACTCCTTACGTACGTCCGTGACGCCACCCGTGCCCTCCACCTCCTCCAGAACTTCCAATTACCCGGTCCCCAACACTTCATCTTCACCATGGACGTCCAGTCCCTATACACCTGCATTCCCCGTACAGATGGCCTAAAGGCCCTCCGCTTCTTCCTGTCCCGCAGGCCCGACCAGTCCCCCTCCACTGACACCTTCATCCGCTTAGCCAAACTCGTCCTCACCCTCAACCACTTCTCTTTCAATTCCTCCCACCCCCTACAGACAAAGGGGTTGGCCATGGGTACCCGCATGGACCCGAGCTATGCCTGCCTCTTTGTAGGTTACGTGGAACAATCCCTCTTCCGTGGCTACACTGGCCCTAAACCCCACCTCTTCCTCCGTTACATTGATGACTGTATCGGCGCTGCCTCGTGCTCCCACGAGTAGCTCGAACTGTTCATTCACTTCACCAACACCTTCCACCTCAACCTTAAGTTCACCTGGACCATTTCCAATACCTCTCTCTCCTTCCTGGACCTCTCTGTCTCCGTCTCTGGCAACCACCTAGAAACCGATATCCATTTCAAGCCCACCGACTCCCATAGCTACCGAGAATACACCTCCCACCCACCTTCCTGCAAAAATGCCACCCCCTATTCCCAATTTCGTCGCCTCTGCCGTATCTGCTCCCAGGATGAGGCATTCCACTCCTGTACATTTCAGATGTCCTCATTTTTCAAGGACCGCAACTCTGCACCCCCGCCCCGCAGTGGTCGAGAACAGACCATGTCTTCTGCACTTCCCCCAACTCATCCCTCACACACCCTCCCCGCAATAACAACCAAAACAGAATCCCCCTCGTCCTCACGTACCACCCCACCAAGCTCCGGATCCAACGCATCATCCTCCGACACTTCCGCCATCTACAATCCGACCCCACCACCAAAGACATCTTTCCCTCCCCACCCTTATCTGCTTTCCGGAGGGACCACTCTCTCTGTGACTCCCTTGTCCGCTCCACACTCCCCTCCAGCCCCACCACACCCGGCACTTTTCCCTGCAACCGCAGGAAGTGCTACACCTCCCCCCTCACCCCCATCCCTGGCCCCAAGTAGACTTTCCACATCAAGCAGATGTTCACCTGCACATCTGCTAATGTAGTATATTGCATCCGCTGTTCCCGTTGTGGCCTCCTCTACATCGGGGAAACCAAGCGGAGGCTGGGAGACTGCTTTGCAGAACACCTACGCTCGGTTTGCACTAAACAACTGCACCTCCCAGTCGCGAACCATTTCAACTCCCCCTCCCATTCCTCAGACGACATGTCCATCCTGGGCCTTCTGCAGTGCCACAACGATGCTACCCGAAGATTGCAGGAACAGCAACTCATATTCCGCTTGGGAACCCTGCAGCCCAATGGTATCAATGTGGACTTCACAAGCTTCAAAATCTCCCCTCCCCCTACCGCATTCCAAAACCAACCCAGCTCGTCCCTGCCTCCCTAACCTTCCTTCCTCCCACCTATCCCCTCCTCCCACCCCAAGCCCCACCCCCATCTCCTACCTACTAACCTCATCCCACCCCCTTGACCTGTCCGTCCTCCCTGGACTGACCTATCTCGTCCCTACCTCCCCACCTACACTCACCTCTAGTGGCTCCATCCCCACCTCTTTGACCTGTCTGTCTCCTCTCCACCTATCTTCTCCTCTATTCATCTTCTATCCGCCTCCCCCCTCTCCCTATTTATTTCAGAACCCCTTCCACTCCCCGATTTCTGAAGAAGGGTCTCGGCCCGAAACGTCAGCCTTCCTGCACCTCTGGTGCTGCTTGGCCTATTGTGTTCATCTAGCTCTACACCTTGTTATCTCAGATTCTCCAGCATCTGCAGTTCCTGCTATCTCTGAAGGAATGACCTATAATCTGATTAAGTGAAGCAGAGAGATAATTACAGAATTAAAAATAGGTATGCTGGAGACAGACTAAATGACTGGTCTAACATGATAGGTATAAGAGTTCCTACTGAGCGTGTAACCAAAATAATTCATTCAAAACTGTACAAACTAATTAAGGTAGATAGATCATAACAATTTATCCAGATGATGGTGTCAAAACAGGACAATAAGGAAGATTTTACAGATATAGAACAGTGTGGTGGGGTCACATGTAGCGCGATGTGAACCCAAGATCATGGTTGAGGCCATCTGCATGGATACGGAACTTGGCTGTCAGTCTCTGCTCGGCAATTCGGTGTTGCTGTGTACCTCGAAGTCTGCCTTGGGGGATGCTTACCCAAAGATCAGAGGCTGAATGCCCTTAACTGCTGAAGTATTCACCGACTAGGAGGGAACAGTCTGCCTTAATTACTTTGTACAGTTTTGAATTACTTACAACTTTAGTTAGACCCTCAGCACGCGACTTACATGTATCATGTTAGTCCAGTTATTTAGCCTGTCTCTAGCGCACCTTATTTTTAATTTTTTGTAATTATCTCTCTGCCTCACTTAATCAGATTATAGGTCATCCCTTCACTGGTTATTCAACAGTTTACACTTTACTCACCGTCTAACACTCTTGGTCACCTGCAGAGACTTATTATTTGACACTCCACTCACAACAGCTGTATGATCTCTGTTTTCTGCGTGCTTCTCTGTCACTACACATGACGAAGGAGCTGCACACCAAAAGCTTGTGATTTCAAATAAACATGTTGGACTATAACCTGGTGGCACGTGACTTCTGACTTTGTCCACCCCAGTCCAACACCGGCACCTCCACATCTTGTCTGGATTCAACTCTATCTGCCATTTCTCTGTCCAATTTTCCAGTTGATCTATATCATGCTGTATCCTTTGACAACCTTCCTATCCACAACTCCTCCCAATTTTTGTATTATCTGCAAACTTGCTAATCAGACCACTATATCTTCAGCCAAATCACTTATATGTATATTACAAACAACAGGGGTCCCAGCACTGATCCTTGCACAATACCAGTGGTCACAGACCTCCAGTCAGAAAGACACTCTTCCAGAGGAACTACCCTCTGTCTTCTATGACCAAGCCAATTTTGTATCCAACTTAACAATTCACCGGAGATCCCATGTGATTTTAATCTTCTGGATCAGCCTGTAATGAGAGACCTTCTGGTTCATCTAACCCATCTAGTTCACTCATGCCCTTTAAGGAAGGAAACTGCCATCCTTGCCTGGTCTGGCTTACATGTGACTCCAGACCCACAGCAATGTGGTTGATTGTGAACTGCCTTCTGGGCAATTAGGGATGGGCAATAAAGGCTGCCTAGCCAGCGATGCCCTCATCCTGTGAATGAGTAGACAAAAAAAATTTTCAAATGCTTTCATAAAGTCCATGTAGGCAACATCCACTATCTACCCTCTACCCTCATCAATCATTATCTTCATTATCTCAAAAAAAAATCAAATTTGAGGCAAGTCCTTCCCCTCAAAAAATCATGCAGACTTTCCCTAATAAGTCTATTCTTTTCAACAAGTGAGTAAATCCTGTCCCTAAGAATTCTTCCCAGTAATTTCCCAACCACTGATGTAAATCCCACCACATATAATTTCCTGGACTATCCCTATTGCCTTTCTTAAACAAAAGAACAAAATTGGCTATTTTCTGTTCTTCTGAGACCTTGCCTGTGGCTAAAAGGATACAAAGATCTCTATCAAGACCCCAGCAATCTCTTCTCTTGTGCCGCCCCCCCCTACGTTTTTCAAGATGCCCAACACCACTACCACCACTCTTTAATTTTGACATGTCCTAGACTTATCAACATGCCCCTGCCAACCTTGCCATCATCCATATCCTTCTCAGTGAACACCCAGTGAGAATTAGTCGTTAAAAATTTCATCCACTTCCTCTGGCATAAATTTCCACCTTTGTCCTTGAGTAGACCTACCCTCCACTTGCTCCTAATATACATATAAAATGTCTTGGGATTCTCCTTAACCTTAATGACCAAGGACATTTTCATGGCCCCATAATTTCTTGTTTAAGTTCTTTCCTGCTTCCTTTATGTTCCTCGAGGGCCTTATTTTTCAGAGTCCAAGATCTGTCAAAATGGCAACTGCTGCTCACTGTTGCAACATTTGCATATTTTCCCACAAACTCTTGAATCTCAATCATTAATAAATAACATGAAACAATCCCAATATCTTGACAGATGACATGTTTTCAAATTGAGTGGTACTGGGGTTATGGGACTTTATTATCTGGAGAAGATGGTGCTATTTTCTTCAAGTACAGGAAGGTTGAAGAATAACTTAATCATTCATGACTTTTGTACAGCAAGGCAGAGGAACTATTTCCAGTGGTAGCAGTGTTTGCAACCTCAACAGATTCATGATTACTGGCAACAAATCAGGTGTCACAATGAGAGATTTTTTTAATGGTGACTTCTGGTCTGGAATCCGCTGCCTGTAAGGACAGTGCAAGCAGATTTGATAGTAACTTAGTCGTATAATTTAATTTCCTGAAAACTATGGGGAAGAGCAGGGGAGTGGGACTTATTCAAAGAAATGATGCCACGATGATGGGCTGAGTGGCTTTGTTCCTTGTTGAATTCTATGATGCTGTTTTTTAACCTGATGGTAGTTTTTGACTACTGAACAAAATGGAAGGTATTTTGAACCATTTAGAGTATAAAACTTGCATCACATTTCTCTTACTAACAGAAATGATGGATTCGTCAACATTCAAACGATTCACAGCTACAGTGGAAAACATCTTGGAAAACCTGGAGGATATGGATTTTACTACATTAGGTACATGTTTTACTTCCCACCATTCTATTTATGATTGCTGCTGAGCTGATCAGACTGTAGGGGGAGGTTGGATTGTATTTATATTGTCATGCCAAAATCTGATGTATAAACTTTGAACCTAAATGTTTTTAGTGGTTTTTAAGATGACTGTCAATGGGACAGAGGAGAGTGATTTCAGACACGGAGTAAAGTTGATAGATTGAGGAAAGGGCAGCAGGTGGGACGAAAGGGAAGCACTGTGCTACCCCATTTTGGTTCTGACCTTGTATCTTTTCGGATGTTGATACCTCTGTAATATTTTAGAGCTGCCGAAAAAGCAAGTGACCTTTACTAATAGTAAAGAGAAACAAAGCAAAATATTGTAGATTCCGTAAATCTGAAATCAAAACAGAATGCTGGTAATATTTAGTAAGTCTGGCATTACATGGAAAGAGAAATAGAGTAAATGTTTGAAGTTTGAGACTTCTAATCAGATCTGTCGTTTCCCAATCACTGTTATTAGGCTTCATTGACCTGTAGTTTCCTGTTTTTACTCTCTCTCATTTCTTGAATAGCATTGTTAGTTTTGCTGAATTCCGATCAGCTGACAATTCCACAATCTTGGATGTATTGAAAATAATAGCTATAATTTCCAGAAATTGAGATTGTTAGCTAATCATTAGGTCCTGAGAATTTTAGTCCTGTTAAGTTTCTTCAATACCCTTTTTCTAATATTAATTATCTTAATTTCTTCATTGCTTTAACCTCTTTGTTACTCGACATGTGTATCCTCTGTCTTCTAGTGTGAAGACAGGTACCAAGCATTTGTTTAATGTGTCTCCTTGCTCCCCATGATGATTTTTCAGCTACAGAATCATACAGTACAGAAGGGGCTCTTTGGCCCATTAAGTCTGCACCAACAAAAAAACACACTAAATCTACACTCCCACTTTCCAGCGATAGGCCTATAGCTTTGAGAGTAATGACATTTGAAATATTCATGCAAGTACTTGTTTAAAGGTTGTGAGTTTACCTGCCTCCCAGATTCCCACCAACCTCTGTGAAAAGCATTTTCCTCAAATTCCCTGTAAACCTCCTGATTTTCACTTTAAAAGGTCTCTGCTTCTGAGCAACCCATGGTTATTTCAATAGCTATCCTTTCTGCTAGTTTACTTTTTGTATGTTTTAAAAATTCCTGGTCAGTGTGGTAGTAAAGTCAGTAGATTTATTGCCCAGAAACCCAGGTTAATGTTCTGGTGAAATGGGTTCGAATCCCACCATGGCATTTGGGGAAATTTGAATACAATAAAAATCTGGAATAAAAGCAAGTCTAAAGATGATCAAGTGACCATTGGATATTGCCCCTCTGGTTCACCAATGTCCTTTAGGAAAGAAAATTTGTTGTCAACACCTGATCTGGCCTACATGTGACTCAAGACCCCATTATGATTGACTGTTAGCTACTCTTTGGACAATTGGGGTGACAAATGCTGGCCTAGACAGCAACACAAGAATCTCGGATAGTAGGAACTGCAGATGCTGGAGAATCCGAGACAACAAGGTGCAGGGCTGGATGCACACAGCAGGCCAAGCAGCAGCATAGGAGCAGAGAGGCTGACGTTTCGGGCCTAGACCCTTCATCAGAAAAGGGGGTGGGGAAGGGGGTTTTGAAATAAATAGGGAGAGAGTGGGAGGCGGATAGAAGAGGGATAGAGGAGAGGATAGGTGGAGAGGAAACAAACAGGTCGAAGAGGCGGGGATGAGAATCTCCTCTTAATTTGTTTTATATTCCTAACTAGTTCATGTTCATTTTTTGTTGTTTTTTAATCCTCTTTTTGGTGGCCATTCACTGGTAAAATGGCCGTGTTGTTAGACCTATTACTATCCTTCACAATATTTCAAGTCTTTTTTTTTCTTTATTTGTTCATAGGATTTGGGCCTTGCTGGTTATATTTTGCTGAATTGCCCTATAACAGTGGCTTCCTAGGCATTTTCAGGTGCCACTTGAGTCAGCTATGTAACTCTGAACTAACTACGTTACTCTGTAGGTCAGACCAGATAAGGGTGATAGATTTCCTTCCCTAAAGGAAAGCATAATGGAAAGGCATGTTGAAAGAGGGATACAAACTGTTTACAGAGAGATATTGATAGGTAAAGTGGGCAAAAGTTGGAAATGAGGGGGCCATAATTTGAAAAAAACATGAAGTCCATTTTGGAAGGGAGCATCAAAGAATGCAGTATTATTTAATGGAGGAAAAACTGAAGAAAGCTGCAGCACAACAGGACTTGGGGATAGTTGTGCACGAAACATAGAAAGCTAGCGCTCAGCTGCAGCAGGTTATCGGGAAAGCTAATGGAATGTTGACTTTTATGTCAAGGGGGTTGCAGTACATGAGTAGAGAAGTCTTACTGTAACCGTGGAAGGTGCTGGCCAGACCATATCTCAAGTACTGTGCGCAGTTGTGGTCATTAGAGGCAGGTCAGGATAACAACAACTGAAAGAACTGCAGATGCTTTAAATTAGAAACAAAAACAAAAATTGCTGGAAAAGCTCAGCAGGTCTGGCAGCATCTGTGGAGAGAAATCAGAGTTAAAGTTTCGTGTCCAGTGACCCTTCATTCTCTAGGATAATCCTGGTATGGAGGAATTGTCATATGAGCAAAAGTTAAGCAGGTTGGGACTCATGGGAGTTTAGAAGAATGAGAGATGATCTCATGGAAACAAGTAGAATTCTTAAGGGGCTTTTCAGGTAAATACTGAGAAAATGTTTCCCCTCGTGGAAAAGTCTTGGACCAGAGTGTATACTCTCAGAGTAAAGTGGTGCCAATTTATGGCTGAGATGAGGAGGAATTTCTTTTCTTACAGGGTTGAGTGTCTTTGGAACACCCTGTCGCAGAGTCCTTGTGTGTATTTAAGGCTGAGATAGATAGAATTTTGATCAGTTTGGGAATCAAGGATATGGGAAAAGGGCAGGAAAGTGGATGTAAGGAATGTCAAATCAGCCATGATCCTATTGAATGGTGGTGCAGACTTGAGGGTCCGAACAGTCTATTTCTGTTTCTACTTCATTGGTTGTCTTGAACCAGATGGGTTTTATGGCACTTGGCAGTGATTACTTGGTAGCCTTTAGGCAAGCTTTTTAATTCCAGCATTTATTGAATTCAAATCTCACCATTTGCCATACTGGGATTTGATTCCGTGTCGTCAGAACATTAGACTGGTGTCCTGGATTATTTGTCCAATCATACCTTTTAAGCAAATGCCCTGTCATTCTAAATAACCTCAAGGCCAAAGATGGATTGATACTGTTGAAATTCTTTTTCAATGAAATATATTTTTGTGACTGTTTTTAACTTTCTTTAAATGTTTCGTTGTCATTATTACCTTTGTTCTGCATTTTAATTTGGACCCTCACTTTAAGCACACTCAGCAGGACCAACATAGCCCTACCTATGTTGCCTGTGCTCACATGGACTACATAATCTGAATACTACTACTCCTACTGTTGTTACTGGTGCAGCTGTTGTCCCAAGTTAATCTTTATCTATATGGAGCTGTCCTTCACGCTAGTGCCTGGCAGGCTGCAGCTCCTGAGGACAGTATCAGTTCTCTTGATATACTTCTCTTTCGTATTGCTCACAGTTTTGTACTCCTCGCTTGAATGGTTTCTTGCACTATGGTTTTGTGGTCAGTTTGCTCAACTACTGCACTTCTAGTTCTCCTCTAAACAGGCAAGTACCCTGTACATATTGGTCAAAATAAAGCGTTGAAACTCCTTCATCACTACATTATGGATCCCCACCTGTTGTCTGGAGCCGCACTTCCCTGTCCTTAATAAAATCTATAATTGTATTATAACTAAGAATTGTTACTAATTCCTAGAATGACGTGTTCAGGTAACTCAGTCCCTGAGGCTTTGCAATGGCTGCAACTCTGAGTTGAAGTTGTTCAAAGCACTTTCTACACATCATTGTCAGAGACTCCAGTGCATTCCACAGATTCCACACATTGTGGTCACTGCACATGACCTGCCCTGTCAATTCTATAAACCTTTATTTATTGCGTTCCTGAAAAGAAAATGCATTTTATTGAAGACTTTAAGTTGTACCGATCAGAAAATTGAAAAGAAACTCTAATTAAAAAAGGAAAACTGCAAGAATGAGAAAAGAATACTGATTAGTTGCAGGTGCACCCTGATTGGTAGAGGCACCGACTCCAGCTCCGCCTTCAACACCATTATCCCCTCCAGGCTGATCTCAAAACTTGAGACTAGGTCTCAGCTGCACCCTTTGCAACTAAATCCTCGCCTTCCTGACTCAAAGATTGCAATCAGTGAAGATAGACAACTGTACCTCCTCCACGATAACTCTCAACACTGGACCATCCCGTGGATGTGTTCTCAGCCCCCTACTATACTCCCTGAACACCTACAACTGTGTTGCCAAATTCTGAACAAAAGCCATTTACAAGTTTGCTGACGACATCACCATGGTATCGAACAATGATGAGTCAAAATACAGAAAGGAGATAGCGAGCTTGGTGACGTGATGCAATGATAACAGCCTCTCTCTCGCTGTCGGCAAAACTAAAGGACTGATCGTTAACTTCAAGAAGAAAGGAGAAGAACATGCCTCCATCTACATCAACGGAGCGGAGGTTGAGAGGGTGGAGAGCGCCAAGTTCCTCGGAGTGACGATAACCAACAACCTGTCTTGGACTTTCCACATAGATGTGACGGTCAAGAAGACACAACGCCTCCTCTTCCTCAGGCGCCTCAGGAAATTTGGCATGACTATAAGGACCTCCACCAACCTTTACGATGCACCACAGAAAGCATGCTGTCTGGCTGCATAAGAGTCTGGTACGGCAACTGCTCTGCCTCGGACTGTAAGAAACTACAGAAGGTTGTGTGCATAGCCCAGACCATCACAGAAGCCAACCTTCCACCCATGGACTCCATTTACATGCCTTGCTGTGGAATGGCTGCCAACATCATCAAAGACCCATCTCACCCTGGTAAT